CAATGGGGCCCCCGCAGGAGCCCGAGGTGGAAACAGAGAAGGTCGGGCGGTGACCCCGACTCTACGGCCTCCTGGATTGCCACAGCCACAACCATATTTAAAAATTACACCCCCCCACTACGCGTCGCACTGAAAGATTCCACTGCGTGTTCCTATGGGGGGCCAGCCCGCGGCATCGGGGAGCGCCGCTGATTTTCCCGAGCATTTGATGCCCAGACAGGCTGGGGGAGAAGGCCTGGGCAACTCTTGAGCGTCTGGGGGGTGACTGGAAAGGCAGTCGCGGGCCCAAGTACATTCTTGGATCGAATGCCTTCCGCGTGTTGCGATGGAAAATGCAGTGATAGCATTGATGCCAGTGTGGGTACGCTCGCCATGTTGTCGCTTGTCCTGTGTCCGGTTTATCCTTGGCCGCCCTCGTACGTCTAGTCCGTTCAGGTTTGCGGGGGTATTTTGTACGTCGGTGTGGGGGAGGGTTCCGGCGCGCGGATGGTGCAGGTGCCGCTTTCGGTGCGCGGCGCGGCGTCTGGAATATATGTTTCAGCACGCGTGCCACTTGCGATGGCAGTCGCGCGTGCACAACACTGGGGAACACCCGACCAACCGTTCAAGCGAGCTCATGCAAATATGACACGCTGTCCGCGGAAACGACAGATACAGCATTTGGAGCGTGGTCTGGGGTCTTTCTACTTCTTTCGGGGCCGCGTAGGGGGCCGGAAGGCTTCGGGAGGGGCTCGGGGCTCCAAGAGGACACCTGGTGGACCCCAAGAAAGCTCGGAATCACGAGTCCTTGTGCGTGCGTCTTCCCGCCCCTGAGGTCAGTCGATGTGTCTGGTAACTTGTGGTGCACGCAAGGCCGCAGCTTTGGCGTGAGGCACGACTTGAAGAGGGCAATGGTCGACGAACTGCTTGCAATTCTAACGTTTGTTTGGGAGGCGCGTGCTGGTGGATAGGTTTCGGCGGGAGCTGGTGGAAGCACGTTGCTCGAGCCTCGTCCTGAAAAATGTAGTGGTGCGAGCTGTCGTGTGGCAAGAGAGGTTTCGTGGCAATGTCGCGCCCGTTGCGCCACTGACGCCACTTCCGCTTGCCACAGAACCCCCCATGGGGGGGTGAACCCAGTGGTGCAAGGTGTCGTGTGGCCAGAAGGGCTTCGTGACAATTTCGTGCCCATTGCACTGCTGACGCCACTTCCGCCTGTCACGGAATACCCCCTCTGGTGGGCGGCAACCGGCGGAAAGGTCTCGGCGGGTGCTGGCGGAAGCATGCGACTCTGACCGCTCCCATCTGTCACGGGATATCCCGCTGGGGTGAATTTGAACGGGCCTCCCACGAGCCCAATGGAAATGCCCCTGAGTTGGTGCATCAGAGTTGTAATTTGCATCGCACTTGTGCTCGAGACTTTTCGCAGCGGTGGATGGGGGCAGGGAAGCAAAATAACATCATGTTGCCTTTTGGGCTCAAGTGCCGCGGATTCCGACCCTCTCCGCTCCCACCCAGGAGCGGCACTTGAGCTGGAAGGTCGTTGGCAGGTGCGCCCAACTCGTCTTCGGCATTTTTTTCCCTGGACCTTTCCTGTTTGTGCAGTGCGTCCACGCGCGCCTGCCAGCAGCGCGGGGCCATTGCTTGTGACCGTAGTGGGCCCCAGCCTGTGCACCATGGTGGCATCGGTAGCCCGTGCTCTGTGTAGCTTTGTGGGGTGGCTTGCCAGCGCTGCCGCAATGCAGGTTGCGTTGGTCCCAGTGTGGTGACACTGGGATTTGTATGTTCATCTGCAGGAGCGCCCGCCTGGTGTTGGGCAGGGTGCGCCCTGAACTTGTATTGCTGTCGGTGAATTGCGGCTGCGCGAGCCTACCAGCAGCGCTGGGCCAGTGCTGGTGCCCACGGCGGGCTCCTGCCCGCGCGCCATGGTGGCATTGGTAGCTCGTACTCAGTGTGGCACTGGGGGCTGGTTTGCCCGCGTTGCCGCATTGCGGGGCGCGCCAGTCCCAGCCTGGTGGCGCCGGGTTGCTTGGTCAGGGGTGACCTTTGCGGTATCAGGTGGCGAGGTCGGCGCTTTCTCTTCGTTGCATCACGCCTACCAGTGGTAAGTGTGGTGGCGCCAGGTCCCCGTCCGATGCTCCTCCTGAGCCCTTGTGCTTGCATCTTGCCGCCCCTGGGGTGGGTCGGTGTGCCTGGCAACTCGTGCTGTGATGCCCCCGTTGTCCTTGCATTCCGTGGCGTTGCCAGAAACATTATCGTTTCACGAGTGGTTGCATTCGCACCGTGGGTGTTAGTGTAGGCGCGCAGGAACCATGGCGCCACGGCGGGAGGGTGCATTTCGATTCCGTGCCGGATCTGCCCGCGGGCGGGCCCTTTGGCATGACATAGATCCTTTTCAGCGTTTGCGCGTCCAACGTGTAGCGAACCATGACGCGCATGCATGCAGGCGGGTTGTGTGAATGTCAATTCTACCAGAGGGAAGCAAACAGCAGGGGCTCTCGGACTTACTCTCCTTTTTCCTCATGGTAACCGTTCACCCGCACCCGTTATTATTATCGTCATCTTCTTCGTTCGCCTTCTTCTTCTGCCACCGTTTACTGTTCCCCGTCCTAGCCCTCAATTTTAACCCCTCATCATCCTTCCATATCCTGGTCATTGCCCTCGCCCCCCTCCCGCTTTCCCTCGTAGCGCTGCCCGTCGCCGAGCCATTGTGCACCGCATCCCTCGTCGAACGCATTTTGTCGGACGCGTGGTCGAATTCCACCAGTTTGGTCGAGATGTTGGTCAAGCGGTTCGGTTGCAATGTAGCCATGCGGATCTGAACTTAGCCATTTCTTGCCAATTTGGCAGGGGCTCGCAGGAGCGTTTGTGTTGTGATCAACCGTGCTCGATGCACCCCGCGGCAGCGTCCGACTCCAATATATTATTTTGGAAAAGTCTCAGGGCCCGAATTGGTGATGTGAGGCAACATCGGTCGCGTACCTCCTCTCCTCCTATCCCTCCGTTGAGTGCGCGCGTATCTCACTTAACTTGTATAGTCTGATTGGTTGTAGACTGCAGGTTAAGTGGGAGGGGGTGTGGGCTCAGGTAGCCATTTTGGGTCCGTAGCGTTCGGCTCTGGCCGACGCGCGGGCGCCCACCCACCCCGCTTTGCTCCCAGACGCCTGCGCGGGCCAAGCGGCCGCAGGCGTGCCAGAGCGCGAGCGCGCGGTCCGTCGGGGCCCACGCGCTCGCGTCGGGCGTGGGCCGTCAGGGCCCACGCCCAGGTGGAGATGCGCGTCGCCACGCTGCCATGAAAATACCATCGCCCTGTCCTGGTCCCTCTCTCGTCCCCTCCTCTCCTCCTCTCCCTCCGTTGAGTGCACGCGTATCTCACTTAACTCGCAGGGGGTGTGCAGCACCTTGTCGGGCGACTTGGTTCTTGCGTGTTCCTGGCGAGTTGCCGTTCGGGGCGGTGGCCGGCAAGGACATTCCAGTGTTGATTGGTTACGCCAGGAAGGCGAAGCACCCGTTCGCCCACCTCGTGCCCCACGAGGGCTTGGAAAATCACCCAGCGAAGGTCATGGCGGCGGACCTGGACAGGCTTGGGTATGAGAAAGTGAATGTTATGCGGTGGTCGGGAAGCTCAAGGAGGCGCGGCTGGGCGAGGTCATCATTGAGGCGGCCCCGAAGGGGGGGGGCTTCGAGCGGGATGGCCGAGAGAGCAGCGCAGATCATCCACGTATTGGCGCGTACTTTCTTCCAGCACGTGTAGATGCATGCGAGGATGCACGTCCTCAGCGCGTTCACCTGTAATCGCTCTGCTCATCGAGCACGTGCTCATCGGGAGTAGCGCCGACGGCATGACGCCCTGCAAGCGCGTCAAGGGCAATATCTGGAAGGAACTGATTCCGGCTTTCGGCGAGAGCGCAGAATTTCAGCGACGCGCGAAGCATGAGGAGTGTGCCGTAATTGGTGGCGGGGACGCATGTCAGCTGTGCCGCTGGGGCCTTCGGTAGAGCTCCCTATGGAGCCACGAACCGTGTGAAGGGGTGTGCCGAATTGTGTGGCGGGGGCGCGTGTAAATTGTACCACTGGGGACTTCGGTGGAGCTCCCTATAAGGCCACCAACCGCGTAAAGGATGCGCCGAAATTGATTGCACGGGCGCGTGGGATGATAATGGTGCTGACGATGCTGATGATGGTGACGGTGATGGTGATTGTGATGGTGTTGGTGCTGGTGATGGTGATGATGAGGGGGGATGAGGATGGAGGATGGAGGGGGGAGCGGGAGGAGGCGGAGGAGGAGGAGGATAGGAAGGACAAACACAAGGAACAACAAAACGCGGGGCGGTGTCTCTTCAAAACGAGGACCCAACACCACAGCACAGTTCGGAACAATTCGGAACGGATTACCGGTCCTTGGCGGAGGCCCTGGGTTTCAGGACGTGTTTCCGTCCGGACTCGTCGCTTTCGTGCCAAGCATTTGCTCACCACCCGCGCCTCTCCCTCGGCCCTCTTCGCCACCGTGTGCAAGCCGCTCCCGGATCTTGCGCCAGTTGGGGAGCAGCCGTGGGCCGCATACGGCACGTGGCGCTCTGGAGTCGCCCGCCGTCCGCGAGGAATCCGGCGGGCCGTCTCGGAGTGGTTCGGTGTAGACACCGCGTGGAGTGATCCGCTCACGGATTCGGTGTAGTGATATTGATGGTCCGCGTGTGAGCGCAATGTGCGCGCTGAGTTGGATTGACTTGGCGGGGCCCCGTCAAAATGGGCGGACCGGGCGACATCCGCGGGACATCGATCCCAGGACCCCTCCGGGGGTCGAAGCGGTCCAGTTTTTGTGAGTCGCATCCAGCCGTGGCGACCAGAAAGGCCCCTTCCTCCCCCCTTTCTGCTTGCTGGAGCGAGTGCTGGGCCACCTGAGCCCCCCAGCTGGCTCCAATCTGTTGTTTTGCTTTCTGACGACACAAGGGTGTCGGGGGCGGCGGCGGTGCCACGGCGCCCTCGCCGACCAGGCCGAGTCGAACACGAAGCACAACTACGAGATGCTGAAGCAGAGCTTGGAGGATGAGGCGGCTGGCTTCGGACCCGCTCTTGGAGATGCTGTTTTTCAGTTGTGCGACGCAGAACAACGCGTTCGACTGAACCGACGTTTGAGCGTAAGTTGCCCGCGTAAGGTCGCGCGTGAGCGCTCTCGTTTTCCCTTATGGCGTGCCGCGCTGGCGGGCCACGCAAGAAGCGGCGTAAAGGGCACAGATACCATCATGCGTCAGACCCATGTCTCTTCGTCGCTCAGCTCTCGAGCAGCGGAAACTGCATCAACACAGTTTCTCTGAGCCCCGCTCGGGGTTCTAGAATCGGCGCTGGGCCCACTGGCGGCGCTTCTGGCGCTCCTCCTGGCGCGCTCCGCGCGCCAGGGGGAAGGGGTCCGTCGCCGATCCAAAAACTCCGCGCGGACTTCCGACCAAGTGTGCTGGTGGCCGTGGTTGTAGAGACTCTGTCTCACTTGTGCTCGACGGCATTCGGAGGTCTGCGAAGGCCGTCAGCTGTCTTCCAGGATTGCTGGAGGTCGTCCCCTCTGACGTCCTCGCGTCGGGAACAAAAGATCATGTCGGATGGGTCCCGGCAGTCTCTTCGACCTTCGGGGCCGAAGCCTGTCTCTGGCAGAAGGTCCAGACCTCCGGGGATCCACTCGCAAAACACACTACAGTGGGGGCGCGTGCCAAGAGACCAGTTGGATTTTGCCAGGGTGCCCTGGGTTTCTTGGATTTTGATGGGCTCCCAATCAGATCTTGACGATGTTCGATCGACACGTGTGGCTTTTCACTGAACAGATCGCGTATTTCAGGGTTGGGTTTCTTGCGGAGGTTTCGTGTGGCCGAGCCCCCACTGTACGAGGGATGTCTGGATCACCCGCCACCCCGTGATCCTCGAGGTCCGGACGTCGCGTTCTCGCACTTTCCTTTGTGCACCTTCTTCGGGCCCCAAGGGGGCCCTCCTGGGCGCGGCCGCTTCGGGAGTGTGCCGCTGGGCGGTGGGGTCCAGGGTTCCGTCCGTGATCTCCGACGGCTTCAAGTGTTTGTTTGCGGCGTTGGAGCTCAGGATTTGTGGGGCAGTGTACACTCATCGGTTTTGTACCCAAGCCGCTGCCAGATGTTGACCAATTTGCGCTCAGGCCTCAGGCACCATGCGTACCTACGCAGGGCGGCTGTCATGGGTTCGGCGAAACCGAGGTGTACAAGAATCGGTGGCACCGCATAGTTAATGCAACCCATCAGAACTGCTCACAGCTTTGCTGCGAAGATGGCCTTTCTATCCTTCTCCAGTGGTAGCGGCACAATAGGAACACAGCCCAAGGCACCACCAGCGCTGTTTTGCATCCAGGCATCGCTTTCGGCAGCGCGGAGTTGGAGCGAGCTGAGTTGCGTGCTTCGGTCGCAAATCATGGGGGGCCTTCCTCGTAATTCCATCTTCAAACTGCATTCGCCTGCGCTTGCGTTTGGTAATCGATGAGAAGGCGCCTATTTAGCGTCGATTAGCGTCGACCTAGGCGTCGATTATTGCCGACCGTTGTCGATTCGCAAGAGCCGACAAGATGGTATGGGAGGCTGCCATGAGTTGCCACCGGAGCGTGCCATTTGCCCCAACCACCTTGGTGACGTCCGTGCAGTAGTGCTGGTGCCCTTGCGTGAAGTATTTCTCCATGGGTCGCCCCTCTCCGCACTCCGCACTCGCTCGACCTTGCGCCTTGCGCAACGCGTGCTTGAACACCCGCTTTGTATGAGCCGCTGGGGCGGAGGAGGGTGACCCAGAGATCCGATGTCGTGATTCTTCAGTGCGGGGCCCCCAGCCGCCTTGATCCGTTCCCAGGGACCGGCTTCTCATCCCCGGGACCGGCTTTCGAGTATTGTCTTTGCAATAGTTTGGAGATCTGGAAAGGTCGGGGGCGGCAAAGAGGGGGGTGATGACAGGGGGGGGGTGGATATCATGGCGGGGGCCATGGTGTTTCCCCAGATCTCATGGCGCCCTTTCTTATCTCATTACGTCCCTGGCCCCCCCGCGGGGCCGCGCACATGCCGCCGGTCATGATTTGCACCCCCCCTCTTAGACACCCCCCTCTTGGCCGCTCCGAGGAAGGGGGAGGAGGAAGCAGCCCCGCCTTAACGCCCTGCCGTGTCCTGCCGCGCCTCCGTGCCGCAGCCTCCCTGCCTTAGCGGCCTCCGCGGGCCGCGTCGCCGAGTCTCCTCGAGCCGTCCGTGCGCGTCAGTTGCCCTGGGCGGCCTCTCTTAACCAGCCTCGAACTCATCCTTATCCCTAAGGTGGGCGAGCAAAAGGCGAGGACAATCTTAGGGATAGGCCCTCAGAAACTGAGGGAATCCTTAAGATCGGCATCGAGGTGAGGTGGTGTCAAACATAAGGATATGGGTATGTTTCAAACTGATAATATTTTTACTCAGGCGCTGAAGTTGTGAGGCAGAAATCCAACGTACACGCACGCCAGTCGTTGAAAGTAGGTATTTGTGGACCCCCAGAGCCCAATCGATTTCAAGCGCCTTCCTACTTCAAGAGTCGATCTGATTCTGCGGTGCGTTGGTATTCTCCGGGAGGGCCTGAACCCAATCTATTTTGTCCGCCTCCCTACTTCATGTGTTTACCTACTTCTTCCGACCGGCATGTATACGAAAAATCAAAACGAAGGTCTTGTGTCGCAGTTTTCGCCCTTTTGCTGGGCCCTGGGACCGTCAAACCAGCCTTGGGGATTTCGTACGATGATGTTGCGGAGGAGGATGAGGAGGAGGAGGAGGAGGAGGAGGAGGCGGAGGAGGAGGAGGAGGAGGAGGATGCGGCGGCGGCGGTGGCGGCGGCGGCGGCGAAGGAGGAGGAGGAGGAGCAGGCGGAGGAGGAGGAGGAGGAGGAGGAGGAGGAGGACGCTATCGAGACTATCGAGACTACAGGGGGCAGGGCCCCGTCTCCGAAGAGCACCAACTTACCTACCGATCGGCAGGCATGAATTCCTCGCCCCTCGGACCCTGGGCCTCCCAGAAAGCCACGACGCCCGAGGGGGAGCTGAGCCCGTGCGCCAGGGCCACCTCCCGGTCTTGGGTGTCGGGGGCCCCGGAACCGTGGCGCCCAACGGGGTTCGACCGAGCAGCACCCTCGCCTGCCTCCTCCGCCCGCGCGCCCGCCCCGAGGGACGGGGGGCGCGCCGTCCAGCTTTCGACCACGTCGGCAGCCAGGGCCTCGCACGTCCACAGGCCGCGCGGTGCGAGGTGCGGGCCCTGGGCGCCGGCGGGAGCGCCGGCTGCGCAGACCCGCAGAGCTCCCCCCCCAAGCACGCAGCGACCAGCCCCCCTCCCCCGACCGAGCATTCTCTTGTGCACCGTGGCGCCACGTTGTTTGCAGAGCAGCAGATCGGAGAGACAAGAGGCCCAGCGCCGGGGTCCAGGGGTGCCAGGGCCGCCTGCACTGCAGAGTGCCTGTCAGACTCCCAGGGGGTCCATGCGTGGGCCTGAAGGTCACCGGGAGCAACAGCAGCTGCATGGGGTCAGAGCCCCGAATCATCAGGGGTAACTCGGATCAGGGTTAACTCGGGTTCGTTTTTCGGCAATCCGAACCCGATTTTACCCCGGACCCGAGTTACCCCGGAGAATTCGGGCGTCCAGAGCCCCACATCATCAGGGGTAACTCGGGTCAGGGCTAACTCGGGTTCCTTTTCGGGAATCCGAACCCGACTTACCCCGGACCCGAGTTACCCCGGATAACTCGGGCGCCCAAGCATGGGGGGGAGGGGGGGGGAGCAGGGGAGGCGCGGGAGGAGGAGAGGGGCAGGGTACGGGCCTGCTCTCGAAGCGCAGGTCCAAGGTCCCAACAATCCCCTCCGAGCCGACGAAGCCCCCATCGACAACAATCCCCTGGAAGCGCTGATCCAAGGTCCCAACAATCCCCTCCGAGCCGACGAAGCCTCCATCGACAACAATCTGTTGGGCCCTCGCATGCCACGAAGGTGAGCTGCTGTGTTGGAACCGACCACTTCCAAGCTCCTCTTCTGGCCCAGCTGTCCGCAGTCTGGTTGTCAAGAAGAAGCCATTCATCCTCCGCGCCAACAGCAGAGGCTCTGGCTCGATGGCTTCTGACCTTGACCACCAACGCTTCTTCGGCCGATCCCCTCCCACCAGCGCCCCCAGAAATGCCCTCTAGTGTTCAGGGGGTCGAGAGCCACGCCTGGATTCACCGCGCATTCAACTGAGCCTGCACAGTCTGAGTACACTGTGAGAGGATCATCTGGGTGCGACTTTGAAAATTCCGACAGGACCTGGAACGCTCTATCCTCTCCGTCCCGCGCTGTCTGAGGGGAACAATTCCAAACGCGCCAGCAGTGGGCCTACCTTCCTGGTCAATCTGCACGACCGGCCATCCTGCCCGAGAGTGGCCCTGGAAGCGGCAGAAGAACGCTCTCCCGTCAACAGAAACCTTGCCCGATAATCTTTTGCCCTCTGGGACACCCATCCAGGTCAACTGATCCTGCGAGCTCGCTTCAGCACTGGGAAGCACCTGGCAGGGGACGGGGCGAGGCACCTGCTGAACAGGTCTCTCTGGACTGGACTTTTCTCGAGCATAACCCGCGGCGGACATTCGTCCCGGCGGTGCGCTTCATGCAAGGGCACTCGTGGAAAGGATGAAATCGCGTGCCAGGCCCACCGCACCGCAGCGTTGCGCCTTGCCGTGCCTGAAGAGCCTCTCTCGAGGCCAATGGGAACCGCCAACTAAACTCCTGGGGATCGCCTTGTGATGCGGCGTCCAGGTTTCACTGGTCGATCTGCCCAAAAGGTGGCCCAAGGGGCCCCAGTGGAGAGCAGAGACCCAGCCCCCGTCCTCCCGCCCAAGAGCCTGGACATCTGACGCTGGCAAAGCGGCCTCACGGGCTCTGGCCGCGATGGAGCTTGGGGTGAACGCCAGCATGGAGCATTCAGCCCCTTGAACAAAAAAAAGATAGAGAACGCACTCGGCATCAGTGTGCCTACCCCGGCCATGACACGCGGCGCAATTTGCCCAGGATTGGCACGGGGCCCGC